GGGCGGGGGTTCGCTGCGGGTGGGGGTGCGTGGGGGTGTACATGCCATGGTGGGTGCTGGTGCGTATGCACGTGCGTGAAAGGCAGGGAGTGTGTGTGTGTGTGTGTGTGTGTGTGTGTGTGTGTGTGCACATGTGTGTGTGTAGGTGGGTGTGTGCACCTATGTGTGTGTGCACATGTGTGTGTGTGTGTCTGTGCACATGTGTGTGTGTGTGCACATGTGTGTGTGGGTGTGTGTGTGCACGCGGCACAGAGACGCATAGGCTTGTGTAGGTGGGCGCACGCGCGGGTTTGTGGTGGTGCAATCCCACTGGACCCTGCCGCTTACAACATCCACCCAACACGCCCCTCAGTACTCATCCCCCCCCCCCGGCTCCAGCAGCCGTGCCTGCCCCCCAACATTCCCCATCATCCTCGATGCCCCCCTCAGCAACGTCCTCCATCGCCTGCATGCCGCCGAAAGCTGTGAGCGCCTTTGCCAAAGGCGCTCCCCGCAAAATATAGAATTTCACTTGGGACACCCCTCTCCCCTGCCCGCCGCCCGTCAATGCAGCTGCCCGCCCCAAACAAGGCTGAGTTTGTGGCTTACTACCTGCTATACATGGCAGCCACATTCGGCAACTTCAAGAAGAAGCCCGATGAGCTGCAGAAGGTGCTGCGGTCCGCGGGGCCAGAGGTCCAGGTGGGTGCGCGCGCGCGCGCATGTATCTGTGGGCGTGTATGTGTGTGTGTGTGTGTGTGTGTGTGTGCGCGCGCGCGCGTGTGTGTGCGTGTTTGCGAGTGCAAGTGTTGTGTATGCGTGTGTGTGAATGCCTTAGAGTGCCTCCGTGTGGCGCTCTGGGTTGATGGCTGAACGTGTCATACCGGTAGTGCAGCAGGGGGGGGGAGCCACCGGCTGGTGCCAGTGCACAACGGGTCGCTACCGGGCAGCCCAGCTCCTGCCCGCTGCACCTCCCCTACCCTCCCCCAACCCCACCCCCCATACGACCCCCCCAGGCCAGCCCATTCTTCTCCTTTGCCCTCAAGATGATCTCCGCGATCGGCTCCTCCAACTGGTGCGCCTACTTCCGCCTCCTGCGGGGCGCCCCCCTCCTCCTCGCCTCGGCCGCGGCCCTCCACCTCGCCAACATGCGCAGCGTCGCCCTCAAGGCGCTGCTCTTCACGGGGGAGAAGGCCCCGGACCCAGCCTCAGCCACCGGCCGCACGACCGGCGTCCCCCTTTCTCGTGTGGCTGCGGAGCTCTGCTTTGACTCCCTCGAGGCCGCTGAACAGTTTGCTAGGGCACACACTGTACCGGAATGTGTTTCGCTGCGCCTCGCCGCACGCGGCAGCGAGCTGTGGGTGCTGCGTGCCGTCAACCCGGCCACGCGGCAGCTGCGCGGCTGGACGGTGCCGAAGCAGCTGCCGCGCAACCACGAGTCGTGGCTGGCGTCCAAGGTGCCCAAAGGGCGAATCCTCGACTCGGTGACTAACCCCTGCGCGCCGCCGGGGCCGAGCCTCGAGCGCCCGCCGGCGGGCGCGGCGGGCGCCGGCGCGGGGTTTGCCGCGTGGGGCGGCCCCCCCAGTGCGGGGGCGTCGCCGCTGGCCCCCTACTCGCCGCTCGACGACGCCGCGGGCGCGGGCGCGGCGGTGCAGGCGCCGGGGCGGTTGTTTGCGCCGCCCGTGCCGGGGCCGGCGGCGCGGCAGCAGCAGCAGCAGCAGCAGCAGCAGATCCGGGCGACATCATCAGGGATCCTTTCAAAGGTCACCAACTTCATATTTGGCTCCCCCCAGCAGCAGCAGCCTGCCCAGCAGGCGCAGCAGCCAGCACAGCAGCCGGCGGCACCACTTCAGCAACACGCGCAGCAGCCCAAGCCCTTGGCGGCGGCGGCGGCGACAGCAGCGCCAGACGCACCCAGGCTGGCGTTCGGTTCGCAGGCTGCGGCTGCACCTGCGGCGTTTGACAGCACGGGCGCGTTGCCGCAATTTGGCGCCGCGGCCGCAAACGGCGTCCCTCCCACCGTGCCCCAGCAGCAGCAGCAGCAGCAGCAGCAGCAGCAGTTGCCTGGCGGATTGCCGGCGGCAACCGCTCCCCTCGACCCGCGGCTGGTCGCGGCGGCCGCGCAGGCGGAGGCCCACCGCCTGGCCGCGCAGCACATCGCGGCCGCCCAGCAGGCCGCCGTCGCCGCCGCCGCGCAGGCCGCGGCGCTCCACGCCGCGCTCGAGGCGGAGCGGCGCCGCAGCGCGGCGGCGGCGGCTGAGCTGGAGGCTGTCGTGCGCGCGCAGCGTGAGAGGGACGCGGCGGCGGCGGCAGAGGCGGCTGAGCAGGAGGAGGAGCGCAGAAAAGTGAGGCGGGGCCGCGCGCATGGGATCGCCAAGCGGAGCGGCTGTGGCGGCCTTTCTGCGGGCTTGGGTGCGGTGGCGCACCGCTGCCTCTGTCGACCGGCTGGGGGCCAGCGGGGTCGCCCGCAATGCCCACACCCCGCACCAGATGCGGTTTGAAACTAATGACCCTGATACTCACGCATGTTCCTCAGGCGGGCCCCTTTGGATTGATTGGTATCCTCTTAATCAACCTTTTGTGATTGGCATTTCATGTTTCCCAAGCACCGCCCCAAACAACCCCGCACTACCCCCTGCCCACAGGAGCGAGCAGCCCTGGCACACCACCGCCGCTCGCTGCTCCGCCGCTGGCGCCGCCACGCCGCCGCCGCCAAGGCCGCGCGGCTGCTGCAGCAGGGGCGCGAGGAGGCGGCCCTACTAGCTTGCAACCCCGCGCTCGGCGCGGGCGGCGCGCGGCGGGCACGGCGCGGCGAGGGCGGCGCCGCTGCAGGCGGCGCGCTCGCGGCC